ATTAAAAATTGAAATTTATTTTAGATCTAATCAATAATAATATAAATGAGTTATAGTTATTCACTACAAACAATGACTAATTGGTATTCAATGTAGAATTGTAAAACTGTAAAAGTGTACCTAAGCTGTACATCTTTAGTGATCAAATTTTGGAAACCTTAACCTAACCTTACTACGTATGCTACTTAATGGCTCATCCCCTCCCTGTAACAATTCTTAAATACGCCCCTGTCATGTACCCAGTGGCGCACACTGGAGGGTTCAAGGGCAGCAGTTGCTACCAGGGCCGGAGCGAGGGGGGGTTTAAGGGGTCGTCACGACCCCTCACTCATTTAACCTAATATTTCAGTCGGCACATTAACACATTGTCAAATACAACAAAAATATGTATAAAATATAAAAATACAAAAAAAAAAAAAAAATTAAAATAAACCAATTAATTCCTATGGCTAATGAACTTTGTCGTTTGGCATTAACATCACCAGTTACCACAGCTTCAAATGAACGATGTTTCAGCAAGCTAAAATTAATCAAAAACCATTTAAGAACTACTATGACCAGTTCCCAATTAAATGATTTGATTATACTTGATTCTGAGAAAGACATTTTAGATAATATTGAAATGACAAATATGATACAAATATGGCATCGTTAAAAGAAAGAAGAATTTCGGTGTAATATATAATTATTATATATATAATTTTTTTATAATTTTTGTATTTGGAATGCACATTCTGACAATGTTAAATGATATTTTGTAAAATGTAATATATTATAATACTTATTTGTTATAAAAAATAGTTATTGTTTTATGATGCATTGATGCTCATTTAAAATCAAAATAGATAGAGATACTAAAAAATCAGCTTCGATCAAAAACTCTAAGTAAAAACTAAAAAGGCAATATTGTTGGTAAATAGTGATTTAAATAATTGAAAAATGTCTCTAGGATTTTGTTTATTCTTTATCATATGATACAAAAACATTATTAGTTTTATTGTTTTATTTATAAACGGTTTGACAAATTTTTACTCTGGAACAATATCATAATTAATAGTGAATATTGAAAAATATGTATAAAAACATGCATTTATCAAGATTTTATACTAAGTTTTTGCTCCAACATAGTATGGAATTGTCGAAACAAAAACTTGACATTTTGAGTGTCGCAAAAATTTTTTTTTAGTGTTTTATAATTATGCATGAATTTCAGTCGTCACTTTCGTTAACCACGACCCCTCACAAATATTAGCTAACGCCGGCCCTGGTTGCTACCCCTGGCTCCAAATTATTTACATCATGAAAATTCTATTACGTATAAAAATATTGAAAATAAACTATTGAATAATTATAGGCTATAGCCATTAGTCTATTAGCCCATATAGAGGTAACCGAATCAATTTGCCACCACTATTTATTTTTGAGTGTGCGCCACTGCATGTACCTACCAACTGTAGTAGGTAACTGCCAAGATGTGAAGGTGGAATATTTTCTGTTTTGATTAAGACAAAGGGACTGATATTTAGAACAGGCCTTTTATTTGATTACCATTTTCTGTTAGTTTGGCACTGGTATAATTCCTGGTGGTATTAAACACCTCCAATATTATCTATTAAAAATTTGGCTTTTTATTTTTTTTTGCAACATTCTACTTATAACCTACCTTTTTAATAAACCTTAATAATTGGTTATATTATGCCAGACGGAGCCACGGAGGATATATTGTCCTGTGCGGCTGTGAATATTTGTTTTGTAAACTGTATAAAATTGAAATTAATTTAGGTAGGTAGGTACCTACTTATAATTCACCATTTGTTGAAAGCACGATTAGCAATTGTGAGTTGGTGGCATAATAATATACACTATAAATATATATTACCTATATAGGTATACAGGTTGATTTTTTAATCGTAAATTACATCACCATTTAAAAACTATTATTATTTTCAGCATTTCGGGGCTTGAATCTGATTGAAAAAAATTCGGATTCGGTTTCGATTTTGTATACCGGTTAATAATTTTTTTGGATTTTGGTTTAAAATTTTCAATACCGGTACCTATTAGGAAATTTCGTTTTTGGTTTCCATTTTGTATACTGGTTTCCAGTTTTTTTCCGTTTCAGTTTTAAATGGCAATACAGAGTTTAAAATTGTTTCCCCTTTTTATTTTTTATTTTGTTTTACACCATATAATTTTGAAAATATATTGACACTTTTTGAGCTGTTTACTGACATTGTCAGTTTTCAATTTTTTTTTTTCTATAAATATTATTAAATTTTATTTGTTGGGTAAAAAAGCGTGAAAATTTAATGCAAGGCTACTGATATATTGTTACAATAGCACTTAAAAAATATTATAAATACATAGGCACAATTTATTTTTTATAAGCATTTAAAGTTCGAATTTTTGACAAACTTACCTAATCAAATTTAAAATTTAATTATTATTTTGTGGTTAAAAATTTATAAAATGTTCAACTTTTATAGCTAAGGATGATTGAAAATTTAAAACAAGGTTCCACGTAAATAGGTTATATATAAATTACTTTATTCACAATAATATCATCAAATATACTTACCTATAGTAATATCATAGGCTGACTGACTGACCGTTTTAGCTCAGATCGTTTATCATATACAATGATATTATATCATGGGATTAAAAAATTTAACACCATCCATTACGGTGACCTACTTGTAACCTGCTGTACAGCAGAGCGACATCCACTTACCACTTTTTTATTAATATACCTAATATATTTTGTAAGTGTATTAAGATATTTAGTTTTTTTTGCATATTTTTGAATTTTTGAGTGCATAAATATGTGCATACCTATTTAACAATAACTGTTGTATAACAACCAATGATGAATAATAGTATACTCGTAATCTAAACATTGGCAATATAGAACACTGGGGGGGGGGTAGGGGGCAGAGTCCCCCGACTATTTAGCCATTCATAATATTGAAGCACCTCCAAGATTTGAACTCTAGTTGCTCCACTGAGCCCAGACATGATGGTTAGAAATACCTACCGGGTGCCGGGTGGAGAACTTGGCACCACCGTACGCTGGGATATACAACTAATGTTGTAAAGACTAATTTAACTAATATAAGAATTATCTATCTGAAGAGACGCCTATTATTATTACAGCCTCGTCATTCACCCACAAGATTATAAAAAATATAAGATTCCCCATAAGTAGCATAATATACTGGAACATACAATAAATGAATAAAAGTTAAGAGTAAGCAAATCTATAATGATTTTTTGAAGGGCGTTTGAAGTTAGAATTTTAACGAAATTTGCAAATTATTTTGTAATTTTACACTGATAAGTTATTAGATTTTTAATTTGTATAACTATGTATAATAAGTTATTATTAATAACTAATAATGCTTGGACACTATATTAGATTCCTCATAAATAGTTCTTAGTGAAACCCATAAAGCTAAAATATATGTTAAAATACCTTTTTATGTTATGGACATTTTAATTTCACATTTTGACGAAATTGGTTGCTTAAACTTTTATCGTTTAAACATCAAATTGATCAAATGTAATTTACGCCCTTTTTCCTTTCCACCATCCAAATTTTAGTTATTTTGTTGTAATTCAAAAATATTCATAAGGACTTGAAAGTTTAAATGTTTACGTACCTACCAATATTATTATATTTATGACATTTTCAAAATATTTGGATTCATTTTAAGTTTTGCCTATTTATACAGTATACCGTAAACAAAAATAGTAAAAACGAAAATTTGAACCTATGCAAAACCAATTTTCTTATTTAATTGCATTGTTGTAACAATAGGGGACGCAAGGTATGCATCGCATTCTCTATCCAGGTTTTACATTTAAATGGGGGACCCATTATCAAATGGAAAAATTAAATAAGTTACTATTCGAAAAAAAAATGTACATTCTATAATAGGTTGATGATATTATTTTGATATTATTCGAAAAACAAATAATTCAAACAATTCAAGAATTGACATTTTTTGTTATTGAAAATAATCTTTCATCTCTTTATAGTGAAATTCTTACTGTTTGTATTAAACATTTAAGTCTTCTGGTTGCTGTCACTATGCCCAAAATGCCATTTTCCAAATTAAAACTGTTGAAATACTATCTTTGGAATTCAATTTCACAAGAGAGATTAACTGCATATTATTAAGTATACTTATAATTATTGAAAAATCAAGGACAAATGAATTTGATCTGGAAACATTTAAAAATGACTTTAAATATGAAGACTAGAAAGAAATAAGTAGAAATAGTAGAAAGAATAGTTTTATATTAACGTAAATAAAAAAAGACAAGAAAAAAATGCAATTAATTTTTTTCTATAATATCTCTCTGAAATCTGAACAATACTTAAAAATATTTTTTTGTAAATTTATTCAGATTATTATAAAAATAAAAATTTTAAGCATATTGATCTAAGCAGTTCCTATACACTGTAGTGGACATTTTTAACTTTTTTTGTTTACTAACAAACATCTATCATTGCATAGTTGTACCATTCTTTGATTTTATAAAAATGTATAGTTACGTGTTATCAAATTATAACACACTACATACAATATATGTGTTTACTTGTCATTTAAAAGTTAAAATAAAACATTTATGAAACTAAATTATAATATACCGTTTAATAAACAGTAAATTTTTGCAATAAAATCGTCCAAAACAATACAGTTTTAACATTTGCAAATTGTATGTCTAATAACTATTGAATTAATGAATTTCTCATAATTTTAAGATTTATAATATGTAATTAACATTATAGTATAATATTCAAAATGTGATAAAGTAAATATACATTTCTTATTGAACATATTAAAATCTATATGAATTTATTATATAACACAGTCTTATAGTTAAATTATTTTTAAATTTGTAAATGAGTAATATAAAATATATATCTTAGTCAAAAAATTTAAATTTAATTTAATAAAAAACAAATCACATTTAAGTTATAATAACAAATCAAACTATTTACCCAGTATAAAATAAATATATTTATTTTTTTTACACCGTTTCTTCACCAACAGTAAATAAAATAATATCATTAACACACTACATGACAAAATATATGATATCATACAAGTGCTAACATCAATCTTCCATTCTTCTTCATCAAACACATTATTATTATAATTACTATCATCATCAATGGACCGTTTACCTGGGATCATCAAATTATCATTTTGAGAATGAATATTATCAAATGATGTCTTTTGAAGACTAATAGCTGAATACATATTTTTCAAATATTTTAGCACTTCAGTTTCATTCCACTCATCAGTACCAATTTGGTGACATGTTTCACAATATACTTTTGATGGAAATATTATTTTTGGATGAATTGGATCTTCAGTAACATCACCCTTAAGTCTTTGATTCACTTGATTATGGGCCGACCAAAGCCACAGCACTGCATCATCTAATGATGAAACATTAGTTTGAATTGTGGTAGCCATATTCATGAAATGCTCAGAACAGTCTGTACATCCAAAGAAATTTTTAACATAACCAGCAATAGTTTCCAAAACTTGTCTTCCATTAAATGTTGTCAAGTTCTTTATAGATGCTTGTACTGTGAGTGTGTGAAACATGGTCCATAAGCCACATGGATATTTCCTATATATTGGTTGGCTACCTTCACATCCGATCCAATTATGTTTAGTAACATAAGGTTTTAACAAAAATTCATAGTTATTAATAAGATTTCCAAGCTTCTCTCCTGATACTGTTTTATTGAGATGCGTATTATCCCATATTAACTTAATGAATTTTTTACCTCTAATACTAGAAGGGAAACATTCAATAAGAAGTTCTAAATAACTATTTAATGCATTTAATGACTCGCCAGAAATAACACTTCGTGATAGAATCTCATGTTCCAGAGAATACCTCAATGTAGCTTCTAAATCTGACAAATAAACTGTGTTGTCATTCTGTATCGAACCTTTGTCTTTATGGAATAATAAATTATAGAGTGTAGTAGTAATATCAAATATACTGAATGGAGTCATGTGCACTGTTTCCAAATATGTATTAATGGTATTGGTAAAATTTGTTTTGTTATTTCCACTTGCTAAACGTGTGAATTGGTTATTATCTTCAACAAGATAGAGACTTGGATATGTTTCTGTTTTTAATAATTCGGCCAATCCTGTGTTAGAATTTAGTACGCTTATTATTTTAACTTTTTTTACAGGACAGAAATCAATAATAAGTTCTTGAGCAATCTTATCATTTGGTGTACTAATTATAATAAATGTTAAAATATTATTTGAATCCAATTCTACATTGACATTTTCAAAGGGTTGTATATCACACAAAGTTGATACATTTGTGCTACTTTGAGTTTCTTGAAGCATTTTAATAAGAAAATCCTTCATAACTTGTATATTAAAAGATCTAATAAAATCTTTTCCAATATCACTTGATGCTGGCTGGGGAGGAAAGTAGCGTACGGTAGGATAGGCCATGACTTCATAATCTCGGCATGTTTGACTATTTATTTCGTTTGAACAGTCAATCACACCAACTTTCACATAATTTCTCCACCCTATAAATCATAAAACCTGATTAAAAACTATGGAATTCATAAAAATAACAATGCATAGTTACAAATAATTATTTATAAGTATATGCAAATGTGTTATGTAATAAAAATTTCGGTTAAATTAGATGACAGTCAACCATTATTAGAAGAATTGTTAGTAGACAATTTTCAACTAGTCATACAAATAAGACAATTTACCAATTCTTGTATAAAATCTATTTTCATACTTATTAATAACATTTTTAAATAAAATATGTTTTAAATCATTAATAATTTTTTTTTTTTTTTTTTTTTTATTTTTGAATTAAGAAAATTTAACAATCTGTACTCATGGTACAATAAGCTTAAAAGATATTTGAATACAATAGTCATTAATAATTTAACCAAAATATAAATTTTTTCAATATATTATTACATTATTTATCTATATAATATAATTTATCATAGGTATAATATGGCAGGTCAAAATATATCCTTAGCACCTATATATTATAATAGAAAGTAGATATATAAAATATTAATAGTAGTTTTAATTAGGCCAATCTTTTGTTTAGAAAATATATATTTATGTAATTGTGTACTTGAGCTATAAAAGGCAAACATAAAATATATAAATTATAAATGAAATAAAAATGAGCACATTTTCATTTTTAAGGATAAAAACTACCTTTAAAGTGATCTATTCTATATTATAAGCCATCCGAATGATATTTGATCATGAGTAATAACATACAATAGTTTGTCTAACCATGTTATCTATATAGTTGGTACCTAATTAATAAAATAAGTAATAAAAAGGTATGGAATTACCGGGAGAAATACATAATAACTGTGTGAAAATGAAAATAAAATCATTTATGAGTCTAGAACAAAAAAAAAAATTAGTAATAGTAAAAACCTTTTTAGATTAAAAAGAAATTTACATAATACCTTACATCAAAAAAGATAATTGTAAATGTTAATTTATAGTGTTACAAAAAATCAACGATTAAGTAATTCCAAGCACTATAAGATAGATGGGGATTCCAATACATTTGATCCAAAACCGAGTTATGACTTGCTTCAGTACTCAAGTGTAAGGTTGAGTGTGGGTAAGTGTCATATTACAACTCTGATTACTATAATATTTTGATAATTTAATTTATTTAACTTAAATATAGGTACCTAAGATTTAATAACTATTCAATGTTAACAAATGATTTGAAATATTTTAAAAACTGTATGTATACAGCGTGATTCTTTTATCAAACAACACTCATTATTTCAAAAAGTGTAAATTTTTTTGAAGATATTTTTTTACATAGTTTCAAGTTGCTTTTAAAACAACGTTTTTATTAAAAAATTATATTTTTAAATATTTTTTATCCTTATAATTTTTTAAGTTTTTTACTTTTTTGAATGACAACATAGGGTTTTAATTTTATATTCTAAAGTAGAATATTTTTCTTAGTATTTTGATACATGAAAATCGAATTTGGGTTGAGTAGTTTATGAGTTATAAGTATTTATAGTTTAGACGAGCGGAGTGGAGTGGTTCGGGGTTACCCCGCGAAATGTTTGTCCACTTCACCGCTTGTCTAAACTTTAATTACTTATAACTCATAAACTACTCAACCCAAATTCAATTTTCATGTATCAAAATACTAAGAAAAATATTCTACTTTAGAATATAAAATTAAAACCCTATGTTGTCATTCAAAAAAGTAAAAAACTTAAAAAATTATAAGGATAAAAAATATTTAAAAATATAATTTTTTAATAAAAACGTTGTTTTAAAAGCAACTTGAAACTATGTAAAAAAATATCTTCAAAAAAATTTACACTTTTTGAAATAATGAGTGTTGTTTGATAAAAGAATCACCCAGTATAATAAATTAAGTAAATAATAATTATATAATTTTAAGTACAAAAATTAATAGTAGGTAGGAACCCAGGTATAATTTATATTTTGTATATCAAAATTTGTGATTTTAAATGTCAGTAACTAAAAATGTATGATTGATGAAATAGTTAAAAAGTGTAGGAACAATACAGTTTAACTTTTCTCGACCTATGAACCACCAATCATAATAACATAATAGGTATGTTATAGCCAAAGTGGCTAATAGTTACTTCTTATAAGCTTGTAACACATATTTTTAGCTGTTATATTTTAATGTTATCTGACATTATTATGATTTTAAAAAGTTTAATGATACTATAATGTGTATACCCAAAGACATAACATTTAAACATTCAAATATAATTAAAACAATTCCCCGAACAATTCTTTAATAAGACAACAAAATGTTATAATATTTACAACTCATGGTTGTTAATTATTTTATAATAGATTTAATCAATGATAAATATGAGTAATAAAAATTAAATGATTGCAGATAATATGAATTGTATAAAACATAATTACAGTGTTTCGCAATGTCCTATAGTAAATTAGTATACCAATATACCATACAATAAATATTTATAGAATGTAAATCTAATTTCAATGGTAGAATTCTTAATTTAAACTCAAAAATGATATGAATATTTAATGAAGTTAGTGCCAACCTATATTATTGTAAGAAATGATATCATTTAAGAATGTAAGCATTAGTTTAAATATAAGAGAATTAAAAAAAAAAAACATCTACATTTTTCATTTGCATTTTTGGTTTTGAAATTTAAATAGGTAGTACCTATAAGGTAGAAGGTTCCTACCTATTATAAGAATAATTATTTAAATAATATTACATTTAATGTTTCCAAGTACCTATTTAATCTGGTATTCATTAAACCTATGCTAGTATTTTTAAATGAACAGTTTGTTACCGTAGATTTGTATTCCAAATCCTTTCCAAGGAGTTGAGAACCGTATACAATGTCCACAAAAGGCATTGTAAAACTCAACCACGAATGATGTATTTCCTTGCAATACTTTGTCATTAAAATTGGTACTGTCCAATATTTCCAACAGATCTGTGTCTTCGTACAGGCCAATACGTTCTGTGCATGCCGGCGCAGTACTGAGTGCAGCTACCAGCAAGACGACCACGACATGGCCGCTACACCATACCAACATTTTGTCCCGATGAATCAGATGGAACTAGATGGGAAAAAAAAATTATCCAAAATATATAGTGGACGTAGGTAAGGTGTGCATTCCCCTAAGCCCACAATGGACATGCCGTTTTTGGGGGGAAACGACAAAAAATTTCATGAGAAAAATTTCCAAGAATGACTTACGTTGAGTGCAACTGCGAGACAATTGACGAACGCAGACGGGACTGTAAACCCGAAAATGAATATTAATATTATTAGGTGTACTATGTCAGTATTGCCATAACCAACCAATTTTTCGTTTGAGTAAATCACGTATTATATAACTACAATAGTATCTAATTATAATATTAAATATTATCGCTCTCTGATGACGTCGGTGTCGGTGATTTATCGGCAACACAATTAATAACGAGCAAACAATGAAACAACCGTTGAACCTATATATCACCGGGTGCGAAAAAATAAACGCGAAGCCGTGACGGACTGTTAACGGCGTAAACGTCCCAGGCGGCGGACACCGGGACACGTCTGGAGTAACGGACGAGTACAGACTGCGGCAGGACTGGACAGACTGTCCGCCTGCGTGCGTGCGTGCGTAGTACTATCTGTCGGCTGTCGACTGTCCAGTGTCGACCGCTGTTCGTGATCGTCTACCGATATATTCGATGGAGCAGAGGCCTCACCGCCAGAGATGAACCGGAACGCTCAAGCAACACGGCTAAACTGAAGTACTGAACGAACGACGGACTGGACTGGCAGTCGCCTTGCCGAGCGGCGTTACGACGTCGATCGCAATCGCTTTCCGTCTGTTCTTCCACCGCCCACAACTCCACAGGCTTATTATAACGATCGACTGCAGCAGCAGCTGTAGTCGCTGTAGAATGTAATAAGTAATAACATTAAATTATTATTAATTATTGTTATTTTTTATGTTTTGTACTTTATAGTGTTCGTTGGATGCTAAAGCTATCCGAATTACGATTGCAGATTGATTATTATAATTTATTATTACCTACAACTGACATACGATAAATAAATAAACCCACGACCATCATCCATTCATACAATAACATTATTTAAGAGCCACTTTCCCACAAGTCACAACCACTACCAAAATTATCTTATAATCGTCGTCACAATACTGTAGCAGCTGCTGTATCACGCACCCTATAAGCTATATTATCCCCCGTAAACTGTACAGTATACCACAGTAACCCTATGTCCTAGCTAGTGCGGGCGAGTGCGTGCGTTTTATATACTGACCATGCTGTTCACGAAATGCGTTGCCCGCATGCGGCGAAATACAAGCTAGAACATAGCGTAAGTTGTAATTGTTGTACCTTGTACAGTTCACTTTTTCACTAACTACTAATGTAGTATTGTGGTAGTATGTACCTATAATAGACGTCTATAACAGAATATGCGTAGCCGGGGTTAAAAATGTTGCAGGAAACTTTAAAAATGTGTTCTGTGGACGTATTACGTAACCATGTACCTATTAAAGTATTAAAATTATAATTCGTATGAAAATTGCTGCAATCATAGAACAATTAATAACAATGCAAACATGGGACTGATAAGTGATAACAGATATAAAATAATATATTCTGTATCAGATTCTGTGCACTCGATCTTAACAATATCACAGAAATGATTATGTTTTGCTTCCGTGATAACACAAATAGTAAAAAACATGGTTATATACATAGATATAATATACAACAACTAGATGGCCGTCTTCAGTAGTTCAGAAGTTGTGACTTGTGACCAGTGTCAGCTGCCGAGCTGCCATTTATAAAGTAACCAGCAGGCAATATTTACATTTATTTTACATTTATAAACATATATTAATGTAATATACATATATACTGTGATAATATTATTTTGTAAGCATTGCCTGTTTGTAAATGGCGGCCAACTTCGATGATAAGGAGTAGTAGGCTATCTAGTTTATATACTTATCTATGCTAGTTGTTGTATATATCTTCAACCGTGGTAAAAAGCATGGAACACAGACTAATATAAATAAATGTTCAATCATAGACCACGGACTAAATAGTAATATAATGGACTGGAATTCGACTGGAAACGAGTAGCTTATCAATGGCCACAAATGTATGATCAAGATGAAAAATGCGAGGAGTCGCAATGGGCACCCAGAGTTTACAACGTTTATCTTTATTCGAACATGGACCACGAACTAAGGTTCAAAATGTGAAGCCAAATAAAACCACCGGTAGCGCTGAAAACATTAGGTACCCAGTATCCTTATCTATGGATGAGCTTACCGAACCTTTTTGTGGCCACTGGCCGGCCCCCGGCTACTAATTCGTTTCCAGTCCATTTCTATACCGTGGATCATAATTTATACAAATAGTAGTATAATGGTCTAAGATAAGGTCTGTGTATTCAATACTTAAATGGACTAAATCAGTGGCCTCGAAAGTATGTACAAGAGGCAATTAATACGGGGGTCGCATTAATTATTGAGAGTTTACAACGCCGTAAATCTATATAAAATACGGACTGACATACAAAATGTGATGCCAAACAAAACCACCGTTAACGCTGAAAACATTCAATGAACGGTGTTGATGATAACAGAAGAACCTTTTGCTGGCCATCCCCCGTCACCCGCCCACCAAGTCATTTATAGTCCATTATACTAAGGTCCGTGGTAAAAATGATAAATCTGAGGCATCAATGTTTTATGTTTATATATTATAACTTATAAGACACACCCTATAAGTAGACCTATAATACAGTAGACTCACAGGTGTTTGATATTACTACTTATAAGGTACATAATATAAAATATAAATTGCCACTAATAATTTGATTTATGTGCCAATCGTCGATACGGATTAAAAAGTTACACCTAAACTATTCTAACTTTAAAAAAAGTAGGTACTTACTGTATCTATGTTATAAAATAGGTACCTATAGTCCGAGCCACGAGAGAAGGAACCCGGTTCACGCATGCAGGCTGTAGGCATTCAGTGGCGTATTTTGGGTGATTAATCGGGGGGTGTCCAACGTTTACTGAACCTCACAAATAACATTTTTAGAATTATTAATGTTACTAATATTTTATTTATATTGAGTTCAGAGTTGTGTTATAATTACAGTGTTCGGGACGCTACTGTTTTTTTTGTAGCACGCTAACGCTACTGCTACTCCCCAAAAAAAGTAGCTCGCTATCGCTAAAGCTACTTTTTTTTAAATGTAGTGCGCTATTTCTAACGCTATTGTTTAAATGTAGGGTGCTACTTTTTCGCTACATTTTTTTAAAAATTGTTTTTGTTTATTTACATATTCACTTGAGTACTTGTTCATTATTTGTTGCCTACCACTATTTTCTTGTAATTTCGGAAGGCAGGTTTATATTAAGTGTAACTCTTGTATTTTTGTAACAAATTCAAAACAAATAAACGTTTTATTAAAAATTGCTAACTAGTTTTTTTTTTAAATCTACGTTATTGTTAGTAAAAAAGTTCACTAACGCGTCAAAAATGTTTTTTCCAGTAGTTTAAGTTTCAAGTTTTGAGGAGAAGAGTATATCCTCGTGGATTTTGTTGTTATAAAAATACCTTACATATGTAAGCAAAATCGCTTCGTTTGCAATATCGGTGCTCTCCGAATGTAATTATTAAAAAATTATTTTTTTACCTTTTATAATTTTAAAAATTTTATTTTTATTTTAAAAAGAAGACTTATCGCGACCCAATTTTAAAGCTTACGCGACCCAAAAATGGGTCGCGACCCACCGGTTGAAGACCACTGGTCTAATCTATCCGGTCTTATCTTAGTCCGGTCCGGGCTAAACCCGAAAAAATCAAAAATACACTCATCTTGTCATCTTAATTAAATAAATAAATATACATCATGATATTTTAATTATCATGAAATAAGTTAGAAGTAGCGATAAAATAATGAACATTTTCGCTACGCTAACCGTAAATTTCTAGCGCGCTATAGTATTTCTCTACATTGTATATACTGTAGCGACGCTATGTTAATCGCTACAGCTAAAGTAGCGTGCTACTGTAGCGTCGCTACAATTAGCGCGCTACTCCCGCCACTGGTTATAAATTATATCGAATCGATATTTTTTCCGATTATTTTATTTTATTGTCCTAAAATGGCGTTCGTCCCCAATGTGTTAATTATTATTTAATTTATTTGAATAAATAAGTATTTAGTATTTACGTTATTCAGTAATCACCTGGTACAGTGCCACAGTGGTGGACGGTGGTACGTACAGCACCGCGACGGTAGACGAAACAATTAATGACAAATTGGCAAAAATACCATAATAACATAATCATTGATTAAAAATACTAGTATTTATAATCAATGGTCACATCCGCATGTGTTGTCTCCGTCTTATAAATGTACAACATAGCAAAAACTGTTTTGCGCGGGACAACTTTTCTTGCACCATATTTGTTGTAAAAGTAGAACTACCAAATTTTCACAACACGTAAAGAAGAACATTATTTGTGCAACAGGGTGCTCTTTTTTTTAATAGCAATATCCAATCATTTTTTATAAGCTAATTAAAAAAAAACAAAATTTTGAGAAGCAAATAATTTTTATTGTATTTATGTTATCTAAAATATGGGCACTCTGTTGCATATATAATTTTCTATCCCATATGTTCACAAATTTTGGAGCCACTACTACAAACACAGAAAGATAAAAGTTGTCCCGCGCAAAACAGTTTTTGTAAGACGAAGACAACACATGCGGGTATGGCATCCTGTTAATAATGAAATTTATAATTCTCTAAACTTTTAAACTTTAAACTGGATTAAATTAATATACTAGTATACTACATACGTTCACAATATTTTCGTTGTTATTGTATTTTCGCTGCGGCCTGCGGGTATTTTTACAATCGTAATGAACCGGTGAAATTTAAATAATTTCTGGATATCCCTGATAAATTGTAGATAAGTCTGTGTGTCGTCGAATCTAATCAAATTAGTTTCAGTTTTGCCGTTTATATAAAAATAC